CTGAGTGAGGACACTGAACATGTGTGAAAGCCTGCCGCCTCCCTTTCCATTTATTTTCTTTCAAAATATTGCACCTTTAGTCATTGTAGGGATAGACTTGATTTAACTGCTTCTAAGGCACAACATAACACTTTTTTTTACCCCAGTTACCACATTTCTACCTGACCCCAAATAGAAACATGACAGAAATTATGATTACAACAGAACCAGGATGGTTTTGGACTAAAATGGAAAATGTTACCATCTTAATTTCCCTGTCAGATAAGCAGCTGCTGTATATGAAATCACAAACATTTGAAAAGCCAACACTGTGAGGGTTTGCACTGCTGTAGTTATATGTTTTAGCAATAAAGACTTTATCCAGCTGTAATGCTTATTATTCCACAATAAGACTTATCATTTATTAACAAAAGAAAAAAACAAGTAAATAGCTTTATTTCACAACAGACTAGATTTAGCACAGCACACATCTTGGGCCGTGTTTGGTTAAAACAATCATGGGGAAGATGAAGAGCAGCTGTTTGGGGTTTTTTTGTTTACCATCTTGGCTATGATCGTACAGATAATCTTCCAACTGCTGTGGACATGGGAGATGTCCTAGGAATTTCAGCACACTGTGTGTCTGCGCAGAGAGAAGATCCAGGTCATGAAGCTAGGTCTACACTGCAGGTCAGAGGCGTGTTTGCAGCATGTCCACAAGGATCTGGGCTAGTTTTATCCCAGAGAGCGTGACAGCAGTAGTATCATGACAGTAGCTGTGGTAACATCATTTCACTATGTGAAGAGCAAAACAGCATGGTGGTATTACACAGCCTTTTGAACACGGGGACCGGGAGGGCTGTGGGACTACAGATGACACCGCCTCTCTCCTCGCTGAACACCAACCACCCTGTCAAGATGATTGTGCTGGCAGTGCGGGACTGGTATTTTGGGGACTTCACCCCCTGGAAGATGACACAAGCATGAAGTGGTGCTGGAAGACTGATCCTTACTCTCCCTGAGCACAAGACTGCCTGCCTAAACTCAACTTCTACCTCATTCAGCTTCTCCTAGGACACAGACTGTCCCCATAAGCACTTCTGATCCAGTAGACAGCGATTTTCCTAGATGGTGAGGTTTTGGTGGCAAGAAGTGGGAGCAGCTGTCTCTGTCCCCTGCTCACTACAGCATACCTGCTCCCAAACTGATCTGATTTTCTTGTCCCTAAGAAAGTTCACCCCGTAGGTGAAGGTACGGCACAAAATAAAAGCAAATCTCTTCAGGTTTCCTTTGCTGCTTCTTCTCCCAGGACCCACCAACCTCACTAGGTCCATACACAGGACAGTTCTCACTTTACAGGGACAGACAAGGACCAGGCTGGGGCAGGGCTCAGTGCTACTGAATAGGACAAAAGACAAATACTAAAAAGGACACGGTAATATCA